TCGAGGCCACATACTCGATCACTGAAGAGGATTTTCTTGCATGGGTAGGTCAACTCTTGCATCCCGCGACGTGCAGGGTCTGACACATGAAAGTAGAATCCCTACCTCTCGCTACTGTACACCGACTGCAACTTGGTTGCGGGCTATGACTACTGCGTGGACATCAACTTTGAGACCTTCAAGACCACGTCGTCCTCATCAATCTCGTCGACCTCGTCCACAACATCGCAGGCTTCCACTCCATCTGTCGCGAGTACTTTGATTACAAGCACCATCTCTGCTTCCACGACCGGATCTGCGACCGTGGCGAGCGCGGGAATCACCACACCCTCGCCCATTCAAACAGGCATGACGGCCACATGCGACGAGTTCTATCTCGTGGTCTCCGGAGACACGTGCGCGGCCATTGCCTCTAATGCCGGTATTGCACTGTCCGACTTCTACGCCTGGAACCCTGCGGTTGGTAGCAGCTGCGCGGACCTCGACATCGGTGATTATGTGTGCATCGGGGCAACGGGGAGTGCAATCTCCTCCACAGCAGCAACAGCCACGGCCACCAGCAGCGGTACGGGCATTGTTACGCCAGCCCCGATTCAGACCGGCATGACCGCCACCTGCGACGCGTTTCATCTTGTGGTCTCCGGAGACACGTGCGCAGCCATTGCGTCCGATGCGGGAATCGCACTGTCCGACTTCTACGCCTGGAACCCTGCGGTTGGCAGCAGCTGCGCTGATCTCGATGTCGGTGATTATGTGTGCATTGCAGCGACTGGGACTGTAACCACAACCACGGCCACCAGCAGCGGCACTGCCATCGTCACGCCCGCCCCAATTCAAACGGGCATGACCGCCACCTGCGACGCGTTCCATCTCGTGGTCGCCGGAGACACGTGCGCAGCCATTGCATCCGATGCGGGAATCGCACTGACTAATTTCTACACCTGGAACCCTGCTGTCGGCAGCAGCTGCGCTGACCTGGACGTGGGCGATTATGTGTGCATCGGAATTGAGGGAAGCACCACCACTGCTACTGCGACGACAACATCGGCAACGACAACCGGCAACGGAGTCACGACTCCCACTCCGATCCAGACGGGCATGGTGTCGGACTGCGATTCCTTCTACTATGTGGTCACTGGGGACGGCTGCTCGAGCATCGCGAGCACGGAGGGGGTCACCGTGGCCGAATTGGAGGAGTGGAACCCGGCCATTGGGACGGATTGCACGGATTTGTGGACCGAAACCTATATTTGCGTGGGAATCTTGTAGTTCGATCCGGAAGTTCTTGTACCCACATCTAATGAATAGGCGAAGAGGTCATTCGGGCACGCGGCTGAATCGTTTTCGCATTTTGGTCTATATGTAGTTTCGAAGTTGGTTCTTGAACATGTTTATATTGTCATAAGGGACTTTTTGCTTAATTGACCCCTTGTGTAGAATATCCTACTCCTGCGCCATCAGCATCAACACAGGACCCGGCAGCACTAGAACTTGTTTTTCTTGTTTTTTCCCCTTCGACTATCAGCCAGCTGGATTATCCTAGCTTTAGCCTTCAAGCTCTTCGATTTTTTCGGAATCAGATGCCAAATCCGGACAGATAGTACTATCCAATCTAACCCTCCCGGAAAGTGTCCGGTCTTGCACTATTGAAAAATCATGGTCCCTAAGTTAGTCCCGGCTGGCCCCTCTTTGTCGGAGATTAGATTAGCGTAATTAGCACCTCGTATCCAGCCGCTCCTCGTGGCTCGATCCTCAGTTTGACGTTCCTGCAGGACTCCTGCATCCTGCGTCGGAACCGAGGTGTTTTGGCCCCCATACACTAGTATATCCAAACTATATCTTAGCGGATCCGAACAGACCAATCCAAACCGAGGCCTGGAAACTAAAACGGTGAGGAGTGCAGAGATTTATCCCGAGCTATGGGACATGCGGCGAAGGTAATCTTACTCTTAACTCGGTTGCTCAGAGCTTCCGCACATTGACGTTGGTGCATGCGACATACGTTCTCGTCAGGAGAGAAATATGAAATGCTCTTTGGAACACTGACCCCCTGCAACGAGCGGGAGACCATAGCTTGCCCTAATAAATCCCCTGTTAGCCGTAAGTTACGGATAAAGAATATTACCGCCGCTGTACTATACTATACTGTACTGTACTGTACTATATCTGTCAGCGGTCCACTGGTCATGCTGCTGCTCACCGCCCACCCCGGTGGTTCTTAGCTCTGGGTAGCCTGACGTCCCTGAATTGTCTACCTATTCACTTATCCACGTCCCCGACAAACCCTTATCCACCGTCCTGCGCTGCTCTAGTCCACTCATCTTCCTCAAATATAGATGAACTGGCCATTATCATTGCCACAAGCACCCAATCTTCTAATCCAACTTCTTTTCCTCCTTAGTTCACGGAATGTGACCGCTCTCCGATTGCGCCCAACCATACATACCCACAAGAATGCCATTCTGGAAATTGCAGTTCCCCGACTCTTTCGTCGGATGGCTCCACCTCCTCACCCTAACCTACGCCATCTTCATAATCCTATCCCAATGGCGCCAAGAACGTCTCCAAAACCGCCTTCGGGCAGCTCCCATCCCCCACCCCCCCGAACCAGACCCCTCAAAGCAAGACGAAGCAGACCCCGCCCAAGACATCCCCGCCCCGCGCCTCCCCTACAACGAAACCACCCTCGTCGCCCTCATCACCGAGATCTACCGCACCTACCAGCAACTCAACTACATCACCCCGGACGAACTCATCTGGCCCCCAGCCCATGGAGCCGGCCACGCGATCAACGAGCCCCTCTGCGCGGCCCTGCACCTCGACCCCGCCGTGATCTCGCTGCTGAAGCGCCTGCCCTACCCCCGGACCCCGCGGCTCGCCGAAACCGTCCCGATCACCCCGCTCTCGCGCGCCTTCGTCTACCTCGAGGACGAGGAGATCCGCGGCGCTCGGGACCCCAAGCGGTACGGGCATGTCGACGAGCTGCGGGGGGATGTCTTGCGCCCGCAGGAGATCGCGCTGAGCTGCCCCGCGGATGAAGGGGAGTGTTGGGTTTTGGATGTGGCGGAGAGTAAGTACCCCCCTCCCCTTTCCCCTTTCCCCTCTCTTTGTTCCTTTTTGGGTAGAGGCTGTATTGGGAGAGTTCGAGCGGTTGATGTGGATATGATACGTAGATACCATCCGAGTCTGGGAGTGGGATGGGCTCCAGTCCAGCGGCAGCGGCGACGACGCCATTGACTTGCGCGCGTATCACGCCCACCACGCCCCGACGTTTCTGTCGGATCATTTGGAGAAGCTGCGGGCGCTGCAGATGATTCCCTGTGGTCACAGCGGGGCGCGGGGCTACTGGGTTCTGGATTCGGGTGAGGTGGTGTGTTGCCCCCCCCCCCCTTCCTTGCTTATTCCTGCAATCGCAATGCTAAGTTGCACGGCAGTATCCTCGGATCAAGAGAACGCTGCAGGAGCAGTACGGCTGGCCGTATGATTTCCGGGAGGCGGAGTGGAAAGCGGCGTCGGAGGAGACCTGGGAGCGGCTGTTGCCGTTTTGATCCGGCTTTTTGCATGAGGGGTTTCACCTGCATATATGCACGGGGATGATGAAGAAGGATGATGGTTTCGTATCGTTGTTAGGCTTATTCTAAAGTGTAACTTACTGGGCTACACACTTGGTAAGAATATAGTCTGGCCCGATATACACACCGAGGGCAGCTGACCTACCACACTTACCCACGCATCGCATCGTTTAAGGTGCCCATCCTGTCCCCGTCGAAATGTCGAAAACATCACGAAAATCTACATTTAAGGCTGAACCCGCCCCTGGACGCGTTACTTGGTACGCGACGACAGGGGTTCATCTGGATTCATCCAATCACATCGCTGCCTCCGTCGAGATGTCAACTGATCACGAAAATCCACTTCTAAGGCTGAGACTCCTGGACGTGTTATTTGGTACGTGACGACAGGGGTCCAAGTCTGGAGGGGTCCAATCACATCGCTTCCTGCGTCGAGATGTCAAAGCAATCGCGAAAATCCACTTATAGGGCTACAGGAGGCTAGACGTGTTGGTTGGGACGCGCTAGGAGGGCTGCACGTGGCCTTTGATTATCTTGTGTTATCTGATGTTTGGCTCAGTTGGGCAGTGGGTTCGAGGGGACTGCGGGCATTTGCGGTCCGGGCGAAATGCCAGCAGGCATTGTTATGGTAATGAGTCAAGCACAAACAGGTGGTAACCACGGCTTCCAGCCGGAATAACGAAGCTACGTATAAGGCTCGAGTTCCAGCCGCTTATCCTTGGATGTATCGCTTGACTTCCTCAACTAGTGCTCTCGAGGTTTACCCTACAACGGGAGTAGATTTTAATCCTTAAAAGGCATATTAATGACCCAGCACCCAAAGCGAAATGTTCCGGACAAAAATAAATATAAAAACCACACAAGATAATGTTCCCCAAGGACTATTGTATGACTGGTCGAGCCGAATTGTCGGCGTCAATCAAGCAAGATCTCGAAGACAGCCCGGGATCATTCCCGGAGCACAAACTTAAGTACCCGACCTAACTTGCTCCCAATGTAAAGTACCCTTCCATGCACAGCCCAGACCCCCCGATCCTCCGGCGGCAGCCATAGACGTCTCCGTGCACGGGTTACTATCCAATTATCACGTACGGCCAGGAAGGCGGGACACTCGACTGTGGCTGGCGCCGAAGAACCGTCCTGGCCTGGAGTTGAAGCACCCGAGATCGGGAAGGCTCCTCGCTCGGTCAACACATATCTTTCATTCTCGGACAACCGAAGCAGTTGGGTCGGACCGGGGGCCTCGATAATCTGTAGCTTTTCCTTAGTAGCTAGCAACGTCCCAGAGAGTGATCTCGTTGATGGTTTCAGAACTACTGAGTATATACCGACCGTCGCGTGAGAAAGCCAGCGCGCGGACTGGATCCCGAGAGGAGGTCGCAATAGAACCACGGGATCCGTAGCACGGGACAGCGATGTCCGTTAGTTCTGGAAATATAGGACTCAATGTCACGTGCAGCGTGTGCAAGCAATCGACCGTCCGCCGAGTAACATATCGACGTTATGTCTCCCGAGTTATCCCACAGCCGGCGTACAACGATTTTATCAGCCACGCTCCAAATGTCGACTCCTGGTCACTAGCACGGGCTATATATTGACTGTCCGGTGAAATGGAGAGACACCTCGTCGGGGAGGGCACGTCAATCGGCAACGTGTCCAGCATGGTATCCGCGCCGCTGCTCTCCACCTGCCAAAGGTGGATCTCCTTCTCGTTGGAACTGTAAGCCAGCCTCTGTCCATCCGGGGAAAGCGCAACGCTCGTCACTTGGCGAAGGGTGCGAATTCCCGATCCGCGCCAAGAACAGGTCTATTCTTTCGAGGTCCCAGACCTGGACAATGCCATTCCTAAACCCACACGCAAACCGGCAACTAACATGTGAGAAAGGGACGGCACAACAATCCCCGATAAGTGTCTCAATAACCTTAGGCCGCAGATCCACGGTTTGCTCATTCAGGTTCCAGAGCTGAATTGAAGCAGCCTACCAAGCCGCCAGCCACCGGTCATCCCGTGACAATTGGAGTCCGTCGAAGGTCGTTAGATGGGGTCTCAGTCTCCGAATGACTACGCCTTGATTCATCGTGATGGTGTCCAGATTTAGAAGCTTGATCACTTGGCCTTTTTGAGCAGAGTATGCTACTCGCTTGCTGAGCGGCGCAAAAACCATAAGCCCTTCGTCTGACTTCCCCTTCCATATCGGAATGATTGCACTGCGAGAATACGAACCATCATCGCCTTTGTTGCAAATTTTGATATGAGTTCCTATAGACCACATGAGCTGTTGGTCGTTATTTGTGAACCCGATGGCCTCAACGGTTGCCTGCTCGACAACATTAAGCATGGGCGGGCCTCCAGGCTTGGTCAAATCCCACACTTTGATCTCGCGGAAAAATGTGGCCGTGGCGACCATCTGGCTATTGCAAGAAAACCCCATGACTCTGATTGTCGGGCCGCACGATGGGAAATCGGTGTCAAACTCCCCTCGGTAGTGTATACCTGACCTGGGCAACCGCACCATTGGCTTCTCACTGTCAAATACACGCCATATCTGGACTTCGCCATCAAACATGGCGCAGGCTACCAAGCGACCATCCGGTGAAAGGGTAGATGTCTCGACCCAGAGGTCTGGACAATCGAAGTAAGTCTGCACTCGCTGTGACCCCGTCCCCTCGGTATTCCAGAGCTTGGCACTTGTCCTCTCGCAGCTAAAGGCTAGCAAGCAATCATCTGGCCCGAAAGCAAGGGGGCGAACTGGATAAGGGCCTTGAGATGTCTGCAGCTGCGCGCCCCTGTTCATTTCGGACTGTGGTAGCACGGCAAAATCATTCGGCACTTTGCTCTCAAACATTTTCCGTATGAGGGAGATTTGCGGCGTAAACATGATCGCGGACGAATACACTTGAAGAGGACTTAGACTGATTGGTTCCATCGCTCTCCTCACAAATTGGACTGCATCCGGAAGCAGTCTAGCAAGAGGAGTCTCTCGCGTTTTCTAAAATGAGCCATCAGCATCAGACGACCTGGACCATCTCGGGTCGGGCCGAAGGTCTGGATTCACTCACATCTATCAGGTTTTGCGTGCTCCTGAGCTGCGTCAAAACCTCAGATGTCAGACCAAGGATGCTCATTACTTCCAACCATTGCAAAAGGTGTTCTTGAAAGAATGAGTACATGTCTCCTTGATCACTTGGTTCATCTCCATCTAATAGGTGCTTTGACCAGTACCGACAGGCATATTTGAGCACAGGGCTGATTGACCCTGTAACGTCACTGATCTCGCTTTGTAGAATTCCGTCGTTTTCAAGATTGCAGATATTCCGGCGAAGGCCAATCTTCTTGTCAGACATAACACGCAGGCATTGCTTGCCCTTGATTCCTCGCGACCGTGCTGATCTTAGAAGGGATGTCATCGAACGTGCCATGACCTACCAGGAAGTCCGGGAAGGATTGTTGCAGAGGTTCTATTGGGGCATCGGCCTCATTCCCGTCCGGTATGATGAGCACGGATCGGAGGAATTTGAGTCTCAAGTGCACGTCATCTTCCTCCATGTCAAGCAGCAGAGCTAAGGAAGTCGCTGGAAGAGGGTCGTAAAGGGTGATGACTGAGCCAACAATATACCAGAACTCCGTGAGAATCTGCTGTCTGTCAACGTCCCTGGTATCGATGATCATTTGCTCTAAGATTGTCTGATAAGTCTCGACGAGCTGATCGCCAAAATGCCGGTGCTGGAGAATCACACTTGTGCGCTCTACGGGGCTGAATCGTTCATCGTCAATGAATAGGCATATGGTTGAAACGACAATAAACAGCGGGCTTGCACGTTGGGCCAACTCCTTGATGGTCTTCTCTTCAGGCTAAGCGGGAGGAGAAGGGTGATTGGCAGCGATATCGTTGAGTCTAGCATCCAGAAAGGCGGCGATATCACGCTCCACGCCCTTGGTTTATGGAGGGATACTTCTCGACATTGTTTTGCGCCAAGCTGCTAAAAGCCCTCGCAGACCTTCGGCTCTGGTCTCCTTGTGATGAAGAATCGCAGATCGAGTGCTCCAACACCTCGTACTCTGACTAGATTCCTCAAAAGCTGCTTGGTGTCTCTCTTGTCTCTACACTGATCCATGGCATCAATAATGAAGATCAGGATTTGACGTTGATCCACTGGCAGCTTCTTTAGCAGCTCCACGAGGACGCAGTCGATCTGCTCTCTAAGCGTCTTGGTAAATAGGATAGAGTCCTTTTCAAGTACCGCTTGGATTTCAACTTTCAGTGTTGGTAGCAGGGTTGTTAGCTGATATAAAATTGTCGGCACGAGCTGCTTGGGTGAGACACACTCCGTCCGGCGCCCGTCGAAAAAGAAACTTGCCCCTAGAATGCCTCGCGCAGTGAATAACTTAGCGAGGGAGCGAGAAATTGTGGACTTTTCAGTGCCCGCCATGCCGTTCAGCCAGAAGAATTGCTCTCCCTCGGGATCATCCACCCAGCTTACAATCTTCTCCAACTTTTCGATTCTTGTGCCTTCAAAACATAATTCTTCATACCGCCTCTCAAAAGAGCCATAGATAGCCTCTGCGGCAACCGGTAACTTCGAAATTTGGAAAGCTTGGTAGGCCTTCTGGATCTGTGCTGCGTTGCTTTAAAAGCCAGCAAGCGATGCCTCCGCCTGTTCGCTCAGACGAACATTCTGGTCAAGATTGACCCAACTGTTGATGGCCTGATCTTCTTTTTCAATACTCGTTCGAAGCAGCAACAGGCGGTGGCTGGCAAGGTCGGGAACCGAAACACTGGTCCATATCCTCTCCCCAAAGGCTGAGTTGTCGAACACGATCCATCTCGATGACATATCGAAGGATACTGGCGTACAGGTGAATAATGCTCCCTTCCATCCCTTTGCTGGTATCCGCATGGCTTGCCCGCGAAAGCTTCTCCACAACAGTATAACGAGCGAGTATCGCGGACAGAACTTCGGCGGATTCGAACAAGGCGTTCTGAAGTGCGATATCGTTTTGGGCCATCTGTTTACACACTATGGATCAGTATTGACTTGACTGGGGATAGGATGCCCGGAACTTGAGCCCCAGTGACACTATTACCCAGGCGGCAGATGCATGTCCTGTGGGATCAGCGGCAACAATGCCACTAATAGCATCCCGCACTGAGATAGCAGAGTTCAAAGTGCACTTGGCAGCCCTTCTGATTCGATGCTCATCGTCTCTCAGTTTTCGAATCTGGAACTGCGTCTCAACCACATGGACAGTGCCTTGCAGCACTGCCGCGAGACTTGTATCATCGGGCCCATCATGAACCGATCTCAGCCGTGACTGCTCATTCTGATCCAGCGACCGAAAAGCGATTTCCCAGAAGTCCTCAGCAAAGGCAATAGAAGCATGCTCAGCCTTCTGGGTCTGAACGATGGGAGAATTATCTGGCTCGCCGACATGGTTGGTTTGATTCAAGGACTGCTCGGGTGCGTCAACGGGGTTCTCTGAGGCAAGTGTCTTCTGCTTCCTCTAACGCCAGCGCTCGATCAGTCAACAGTTCTTTCCTTTCCGGGAAGACATCCGGTAGTGTCGAAGGCAAGAATATTCTGGTTCTGCCGCATCACTGACCCCGGATAATGGAGGCGCGGGGTAGAGGCTGAGCGGGGCCTTCTTAACCCTCTACTGAAACTGCGTAAATTGCTTTCTGGGAGGCTCTTATCCTACCTTTGAGCTCAGGTAGGCGCCATCGCAAACCGCGGTCAGGGTCTACCCCTCATCTTGAGGCCAATAGAGGCAGGACACGCCAGATTCGCGTAGCACAAAAGCTTCAGTGCTGACGTGCTTCAACGAGTAAAAAGCGCGCAAGACCGAAGAAGGTGACATGCTGGACAGATTTTGACGACAAATCAGACGCCGTCCGTTACCCCAGGTGCTGTGATTGTCTTTGGACTCGCTGAAAGTTTATCTTGAAGATGTTCGGTGTGCCAAGTTGCGTGTGTCAGCTGTGTGATGGTGATGACTGACTACTACAAGAGCGAGCGGCTGGTGCAGGCGCGATGAATGGTCACATGACTCGGCCGGGCTATCGCATTATCTCGTAAAAGTTATCCTCAATGTGGTCTCAACAGCATATCTACTTAGCTCACACACCGAGAACCTTCCCATGATTCTTCTCCAAATAGACACAGTGACTGCTGCATACGGGGGGCACCCTCCATCGAGTGTAGAGCTTGAGAACCGCAGTTAGTCTGCTCTCGACTGGTGAGGTAGCATACACACCGGGCAACACGCGCCAACGTACTTCTACTCTCCCACCACCACACTCAGGCAAGTAAACTCTTACCATGAGCGTAGTCTAAAGAAGCCGAAAAGAAAATGCGTCAATGTTCATGACATAAAAGTTTTTTGATTCATCTCTATCCAATATACTCCACATGCCGCGCCCAGTGCCGATCCCGCCTCAACGCCCGGACATCCCCCTCATTTAAACACGCCATGACGCCCAGATCGCCGTTCTCCGTGCGCGACCAGAAGTACACACACCCCTCGAACGGCGCCGAGGTCGGCCGCCGCACAAGCGAGGGGTGGCCCAATGCATCCCCAAACCCACAGCTGTACAGCTCCGTATGCGCCAGCGACGAGACCCCGATGTCCGTCTCGGGGTCGAAGTCGCCCCCGAACATGATGGTCGACTTGTCGGGCTCCTGTGCAATGAAGGTAGCCCAGCTGCGCACGGCGTACGCGTGGTTGACCTCGCGCACCTGCGCCCGCAGCACGCCCGCCGTCTCGCCCAGGGTCATCGTGTCGAGGTCCCCGTAGGCGACCCGCGTCGTCGCGTTGTACCCCATCTGGCCCATGTACTCCGGGGAGACGTCCATGGCGCGGCGGCTGTCGACGGCGCGCGAGAATTTCGTGCGTCGGTGCGCTGGCTGCGGCCTCTGGCGGCGGCGGGCCGCGGCGATGCGTCTCCAGAGGAAGGCGCAGAGGGCGTCGTTGGTGGAGACGAGGGGGATGAGCTTGTGGAGGGAGGAGGAGGCGAGTTCCGTGTTGGCGCGCTGCTTGATCTGCGCCATTTGTTTGGCGGGGACTTGGAAGAAGTGCCAGCTGGCTGGGGCGCGGGGGGCTGGCAGGGACCTGGGGATGGTGGGGCGGCGGAGGTGGGAGTGGTCGAGCATGGGCTCGGAGGGGTGGAGCAGCGGGATGATCGTGCGGCGGTCGCGGTTGCCCTGGCTCAGTTCGGTGGCCGTGAAGGGCTCGTGGCGCAGGGCTTTGGCCAGCAGCCGTGCGCATTGGAAGAGACCCCCGCCGTCGATGAAGTTGTGCTGCGCGGCGAGGTCAAGGAGGAGCCCGCCCTCGATGAAGTTGGCTTGCATGATGAAGACGCGCGCCGGCTCGATGCTCGAGTCTTCGTATCGCTCCGGGAACGAGACCACGGGTCCCAGCGCGCTGACCGGCAGCATTGAGCATGGCCCTCGCGCGGCGCAGATCTCTTGGTAGGACGGGCAGATGCTCGAGGCATCGCGCACGATGACGAGGTCTTCCGGCTGGCTGAACTCGGGACACGACTGTAGCCGGAAGGTGCCTGAGTTGCCGGGGGTCCGGCCCTCGTGCACGACCTCGGCGGCTAGCCAGGGGAACTCGGAGATGAGGGTCTCCGTGGCTGTGTATAGGGCATTGATGGCTGCCCTTTGGGCGTGTCGGTCTGGGATGGGGAATGATAGTAAGAGGTGGGTGTAGGTTTTGAGGCCGGCCAGCTGGCCGATGTCGTCTTGGAATTTGGAGAGGTCGAACATTGTGAAGTTTGGGTATATGTGGCTCGGGTTGGTTCAATGGAAATCTATGTTCTTGATCGAAAAGTGAAAGGACAAAGCAGTGGGTATAATTCTATTGACGACAATAATGCTAACAGGACAAACGCTGGAATGAGAAGACAAGTCGTAGATTCATGAGGTTTGTGAAGGATATTGAGCCATTATCGTGAAAGCAACCTCCGGCTTATATACTTGCGTCAAGAGTATGAGCCATCGCAGCATCTATACACCAAGATTGAGGTTGTACTTGGGAGCATTGGGGGCCATGGCAGCCGCTTAGGGCTGCTGAGAGTCGGTTCGGGAACGCGTGCATTAGTGCGCCCCTAACACGAAACAGGATCGCAAAACTCCGAGAGGACGTGCTCACAAAGTCCGCTACTCCGAAATGTGCAGGCATCGTGAGATGGGAGCGGGGACGACATGCAGATGAAAGTGAAAGTCAAGTGGTTATGAGGCACGAACTGCAGTCATGGGCCAATCAGGGACTGTTGACTCACGACTTCGCACAGGCACTCTGTTGCCGAGATGTTGAGCTGAGACTTGGCTCAACGAAAACAAGACATCCAGAACTTTCTTCCATTTTACAGATCAGAGCACCATTGGGTCCAGAACTTTGTAGAAATGGTGCCATTGCCGAGACGGACAAGCCGCCTCTCCGATTGAGGCATCTACAGCCACATGGAGACACGTGGAGATACGTGGAGACAACGACGCTGTAGGTCAAGAAGGCTACAACCTTGACTGAAGATGATAAGGTCTAGATGCCAGCTCAGATTATTCGCAAAGGATATTTTTGCATACTCGGTCGCGAGACCATGCCTTGAGATTCTCTGTGAAGACGTTGACTGTTCATTCGGCAAGCCATTTGGGGAGTAGAGATAAAGAATCGAAGAAACGTAGGACTGTTGTCAATCTAGGTACGAAGGTGACTAGACCCAAAATGACAGCTCACTGTAACTTAGATACTGCCCAGTAGGTTCCAGCCCCGTTCGACCCCTTGCCCAGGCATCCAATGGCTGCCTGCTTCACTGCAAGGCTCTGCGAGTTTGGAGAACATCATTGGCTGACGAAGCGCCGGAAGACGGATTAACTTTACCTCACCTTCGAAGTAAATGCTGTACATAAGATGCCAACAATTCAAAAGATCCCTTCGATTAATAGCGCAATTGCTATTCCTACCCCTCTCTGCATGAGCCCTCGGTATCTTTGCCAAGCATAGACTACAGAAATCTCAGTCCGCCTTTTCCGGAACACTATCCTAGCATGGCTATCGAATCAGACGACATCACCTGGTTCGATGAGGATGATCTCCTTGGCACGGAAATGTCCTTCCCATCTGGTTCAGCATGGAGATTGGAAAGCAAAATCTACGAACATAGTTATTATGAGGAACAGTCTGAATGTGAGGCTTTGGGGATTCATTCCGAGGCCCGTGGGGTGTTCTCTTGCTCCAAGGTGTCGGGGAGTGGGCCACCCACTGCAGTCATCAAAATTCGTCAGCAGTCAGTATCCTCCAACCAGTTGGAAGAAAAGCACATGTTGACATTTGATGGCCAGGATTCCGTGGTGGGAAACCGCGACGAAGACGCCCCAAATTCGTGCCAAGCAAGCTTCTTCGGAGATTCCTAGGGCCTTCAGTTCAGAGATCGAGGCCTTGTCCCATCTGATGAAGGCTGGCTGCTCCAGTACCCCTTTCTTGGCTGTCCTGGAAGAAAGACCAACAGACAATTGATGAATGGGTCCCGGGAGGGTACAAGCTGAGTATTCTGATGGAGAAGCTACCGGGATCTAATCCGGGGGACTCGCTTTTTTTCAGGTCAAATGCCTCGTGATGAGCGAGACGCTTTGATGAAGGCCTTCAAAGCAGCATGGCTGTAAGTTGTGGCTTTCGATCAAAGGCTCAAAGAACCAGTGCCGCTGCAATCACCACTGTCCAGGTTATACGGAAAGGCTGACAGGAATTTCAGAGAGACAGTCCGTTGAGGGGTTATCCATGGAGATGGATCGATAAATAACCTTCTTTGGGACAGGGAAAGTGAAAGATGGTCAGTTCACCCACTAAATAATCTTGTGTCTTTATTCACCACTCCACCTCTGAATCTAAGCGTCTAGCTACTTGGTTGATTGGGAGTATTGGCGCTTCTCCAAGGAAACAACTCGCTAGGAAGATCGCCTCTACGTTCGTTGGAATCCGGCACAAGATGGACCGTCACACATCCTTTTCGATATGTCTGGCTGGCGGCTCTAAAGTCGGCATGTAGTTGTTATTGCGCGGTACGCGACTGAAGTCAAGTCGCGAGCAGCAGAGGTTTTCGTCTCCGAAAGACCACTAACTGAGAAATAGGATTATATGCCTCAATTTGTCAGACCTTCTAATAAGATTCTTGTTTCACTGCATTAGTGCATTCCGACCTCCAATGTGCTCGTACTATCTCTCATGGTTGTAATACTCAGTCTGGGCCAAGTGCTGTGCTTTAAAACTCATTTCTTGCCGTTCGTGGTATTGGTCCAAGCCGAAATTAGGAAGAATTGCAAGCCTTAAGAGAAATGAGGGGCAGTTTGACTTATCGGTTATTTTTCATTTGAATAGATAGGGTCCAGTGTTGCCAGCGAAATGGCAAACTTCAATTTCTTCGTTAGTAACGTTTGATGGTTGGTACACATTCCACTAGACACTTTTGCTTGGTAAAGCTGATGGAGAAGGTGCTACGTGTTACTGTTGCATGCGTGAGTTTCTGGTAATTAACTTCTCAGAGGTCAAATGCTTGACTGCTAATCAAAGCATAGAAATTGCAAATAAGCAGGACAAAGAATTGTTACTGTCAAGAAGGTGAGCGCAACATCTGAGGCTGACTCGTCCGGCTCACCTTCCCAAAGCGGCAACAGCCGAAAGAGGCAACAAAGGAGTGAATCATGATCCATGATGAACAACCCGTGACTTACCGAGGTATGAACATGATGGAACACCACCATCATCAGAGCTTAATCATTTCTACCCACTCTGAGAGGTTCTGACTCCAGAGCATCATACTCTGACAGCTAAACGCCCCAATTTTCATGAACAACAACAACACGCTACCAGGCGAACCGGGCGCTCCGTTCTATCGTTGAGGAATGTGTAGCGCTTCATGTAGCCGTTTCCGGCCTACGGGCCAATCCTACCGCGGAGCCCTGACCCAGACCAGAGAAGACGGGTGGCTGCAAAAGAACCATGGACATATTGCGACCAAACCGGAAGAGCAGCGTGGATGGACGAAGACGATGGGCTGCGCGATCGGGATTCGCACCCAGTCGACAACAAAACCAACAAGGCCCCCTCCAACCCGTCGAAGCAGCGCAATGGCCTAAGTTAAGTACTTGAGCTTCACCAACTCCCCAAGCACCACGAGCAATCGACATATACAGCAGCCATGATCCGCCCCGGGTCCGGCTGCCAATGGTTCACGCGGCGGCGTCTGCAACTCTCCCTCGCCTTCGCGGTTGTCCTAGCCTGCATCTACACCATTCTCCCAGCGTCCAGCCGGCAGGACAGCTATGCGAACACCGACAAGGAGCCCCCGCAACACCACAAACTTCCCTTTACCTCTCCCTCCTACGCCCGCTCCCTGTCCGCGAGGGAGCTCATCTCGCGGCCGCGCTCGTCGGACCTCGTCTCCATCCCCAAGCTCATCCACCAGACCTGGTTCCCGGCCGGGAGCAACATGAGCGAGAACGCCCAGCTCTGGGTCCAGACCATGCGGGCCCAGAACCCGGACTGGGAGTACGTCCTCTGGGATGATGAGACGAACCGCCTGCTCGTGGAGACGCATTTCCCGTGGTTCCTGCAGGACTACCTGCGTCTGCCCAAGGAGATCCTTCGGGCGGACGTCGTGAGGAATCTGTACATGTTCTTGTTTGGAGGGTGAGACTTGACTTTTTATCGGGGTGTTCCTGAGCCAGATTACTGATGTTTGATATATGAATAGAATGTACGCCGACGTCGACACCGAAGCCCTCCGACCGGTGGACTCGCTCTTTGCCGGCCACGACACCCCCCTCCGGGCGGCGCACAGCAGCCTCCTCGGGTCGTGGACGGGGAAGGCCAAGGTGCCATCACCGCACGACGCGTCTACGCTCACGCAGCGGGCGTTCCTGGGCCACATGTCGCACCGGGCGGGACTGGACGGTCCTGCGGCCGTGCCTAACGGGTGGATGGCGTCGCCGCCCGGCCATCCGTTCTGGCTGCTGCCCGTGATTCACGTCATCGAGAACCCCAACGGTAGTGAGGATGGCTCGGTGGAGAGTCTGACCGGCCCCACGGCCTTGGCGTTTCTACTGCACCGCTACTTCGAGGACTTTGAGGGCGACGAGAAGACCGTCCGCAAGCATGTGTGCCAGAAGGTGCGGCGCTGGTCCCCCGGGTGGGAGATGTACTGTGGACCCGAGGGCCACGAGGACGATGTGCCCGAGTTGCAGACGAAGGGCAGCAGCGCGCCTGTCGTTGTGCAGGACAAGATGGTGATCCTGCCGCGGCAGCAGATTTACCCGTACAGCTGGGAGGACGACAAGAAGCTCCCCGCGTGCTTGGCGGCGTTCGAGAACCCGCAGTTCGATCCCGAGGCGTGTAAGCGGGCAATCGACGTGGAGGCGTGGCCGAGTTACTTCATTACGTATTGTACGCATTCGTGGTGAGGGTGGAGCAAGGGAGGGCTGTGCGATTATTCTCATCGTCTTTATGTCAATAGTCTTTATTCTGCGATATTTTATTTTCTAGTTCAGCACAGTGTCACATAGAATGAACGCCTTGGTTTTCTGCGGGATCCAAACCAACCACAAACTAGGGCTGCGGGCTGCGGGAGATGCACGCAAACGGAAGGGGATTCCGAGTGAGTCCCAGACCCGTCCACGGTATCCGCGCGAACCGAGACATCCCTGAATGCAATGCGTCATATTCTGTTGGCAGTTCGTATGGGTAGTGGTCGCTCAGGGCCGCAAACAAGCTTTGGGCCCTGAAAATAGGGTGCAGAAACGCTGGTGCCTGGTTCTGGACCCCACAATGTCTGTCACCACTCACCACCCGCCAGTGAATGACCGCTACTCCGTGTCAATTTTTTTTTTCTCGTTTCTTTTTTTCTTTTTCGTAAAGACCTATAAAAAGCGGGGGGCCCGTTTGCGGTCAATGTTGCAGTCGCATCGCCCGCCGAAAAACTAATGACTCCAACCCACGGCCGCAGCCCAACGGGGCCGATACCCCCGCCCAGCACCATCACCAGCACCAGCACCAGCAATCAACAAGCTGCCCGCGGCTCTTGGCGCGTAGACTCGGCGGAAGACCAAGACGGGCTGGTATATATCCCCTCGCAGCAGCCATGTAGTATGACGGGTCCCTCCGAGGAGAAGGGGAGTTTTGGGTCTGATTCCTTGCATCGGGGGTCACTGTCGCTATCGCTATCGCCATCGCCATCGCTCTCCGCATCTTCGCCGTCTCCTTCATCCACGTCACCCGCCTCCCCGAGCAGCATCGACTATCCCTCCGAGGCGAAGATGGCCTACTCGGAGGCATTAACCGCTGCCGCTGCGGACTCGACCAAGAAGCCGATATGGCCGGTGGTATTAGGGGTGTTGTACGTAGATTTCTTTCTCTCCGGGAGAGTATAGAATCAGCCAATTGACATTTTCCCCGGGGGGTATAGAGCCTGGGTATTCTGGTCGAACCTGACCATCCTCTTCAATAAGTGGTTGATCGAGTCGACCGAGTTCCGTATGTTCTTTCCTTCCTTCCTCAGCTTCCTCTCCCAATCTCCCGTATACTGCATCGCGCTACTGAAAATCACCACTAACCTTCCCATGGCAGATTACCGTGAGCGCTTTTCCGAAAGAAAACCCCAAGAATACTAACAAAAACAAAAAGCAATAATCCTCACAACCTGGCACCTCCTCTTCGCGACCCTCGCCACGCAACTCCTCGCGCGGACCACGACCCTCTTGAACAGCCGCCACACCCACCGCATGACGCCCCGCACCTACCTGCGCCAGATCGTCCCCATCGGGCTCCTGTACAGCGGCAGCCTGGTCACCAGCAACCTGACCTACCTGTATCTGAATGTGTCCTTCATCCAGATGCTCAAGGCCGGCGGCCCCATCATCACCCTCCTGACCAGCTGGGGGTGGCGCGTGGCGCGGCCCTCGCTCGAATCCTTCCTGAATATCTTGGTCATTGCGTTCAGTGTCGGGCTGGCTGTTGCCGGTGAGGTGCAGTTCGTCTGGACCGGGGTGATGTTTCAGGTCGTGAGCTTGGTGTTTGATGCCAATCGGTTGGTCATGATTCAGATTCTGTTGAGTGAGAATGGGGATCCGGGGCGTGGGGGGGAGGGGGAGGAGGTGGCGAAGGAGCAGGGCCACGGCCACGGCCACGGCCAGGGGAAGAAGATGGATCCCCTGGTCACGCTGTATTATTCGGCGCCGGTGTGTGCGCTGACCAACGCGTTGATCGCCCTGGGTAGTGGCGAGGTGGCCGGGTTCGAGTGGGGGGTGGTTTGGAGGACCGGGTGGGGCGTGTTGCTGGCCAATGCTGGGGTGGGGTTTATGTTGAATGTGTCGATTTTCGTGCTGGTGGGTTTTTCCCCTATCTTTCCAGTTTCCCATCGGGGGGAAGGGGGGGGATTCGGCTCATGCTAACGTTTCTAGATCGGGAAAACGTCCGGGCTGACGATGACGCTGGTCAGCGTGCCCAAGAACATCCTCTTGATCGTCTGCTCGATCGTCATCTGGGGCTCGCCGGTGAGTGCGCTGCAGGTGGTCGGATATGGGATTGCGTTGCTGGGGCTGTTGTACTATTCGCTTGGGTGGAGGACGATTCAGCCGCTTTGCGACGCGGCCGTCACGAAGGTGAGGGGCTGGCGGCGTGGGGAGGTGTATAAGTATGAGCCTGTCTAGGCTGCGTCGTCATTTGCAGAGATGCATATGTATGATGAGATATAGATCATGAATACTAGGTGTTTAGACTTTGCACATTGTCGTGGTAGCTCAAGCTGGGTATACGTAGTGAATGGTTTTCAACAAACGGAATGCTCGACTTGATTATAATTGTACGATACCAGTGGGAAGGAATACACAGTGTAGTAAGCAATAAGACGACAGCAAAGTTTGTTCATCTAGTATACAAGCTGAAAATTCTAAGCTCTCCCTGCTCACAGAATCTTGCTCTTGACTCCCGGTACAACCCAGGCCACCTTGTCGAGAATTCCCTCTTCTTCGAAGGTGCTCCGAAGGTCCTTTCCAAACTCAGTGAAGTGATGCCACGATTCGTAGTGCACGGGGACGATGCGCTCAATGCCGATCTCGCGGACCAAGCGCGCGGCATCACTTCCGCCCATTGTAATTTGTATTCAAGCTCAAGGCTCTGGCAAAAGCTATTTTCCCGCCACCTGGCACTTTGTCAACGGCTATTTGGTCACACTTGGTATGGATGTCGCCTCGCTCGTTCAACGTTACTCATTTCTGACTGTTCTTCCCTACAGCGCTCTTGACTACAAGTGGGCCAAATCTGGAGGTCCTACGACGACGATGGAGAAGTGGATCGTAGGCGTCAATGCCATTGCCGGGGTGGTCTTTGTTGGTGTCCAGTACTTCAAGGCTCGCCTCAACGTTGCTCTGTCGGTGCTATGGTTAGCGCCTGGTCTTACCATTGCCGCCGGACTTCTCCAATCCCGTTGAGAATGTCCTCTTGTTGCTCCCGAAACAATCAGTAGCGACGGCCAAAGATAGGATTGCTGGTAGATGGTAGATTTAGTCTGTCATGCGGAATCATTAGGGTAGGCAGCATCGTCCGTGCATTGGAAGCCATGCGATCTTTGAACCATAGCCGCTTGATGTCCAATCAGAGCTAGTGTTAACAGAGTATTCTCGACGGCTCCTTAAATTCGAACTAGTATATGTTGGTCAGGGTAACCCATCTCGTGCATTAATAAGGTGGGCCCGGTCCGAATATCAGGACGTGATATCTCGTCGGAGTAGGGGGTGGGGGTGTGGACCCTCAGTAAGGCCCACCACTGCGTGACATCTTTTAAAAAGACCTTTAATCCCACCTGAAGGTCCCGTCCGGATCCCACAAAACCTCAGATTGATTATGTAAATAGCTTTTCACCGAGTCTGTCGTCTTTGTCGCCGCCCCATGGTCCGCATTCAGTCGAGGAACCATCTACATCTTCACCCAGTCGGCGGAACAAGTGTTCAACGGGCTCTACGGCTGGAACGCAACGCAAGCCGGCTACGTGCAGGTGGCGATTGTGATCGGGGAACTGTGCGGCTTCGTCCTCTGCCTGATCTGTAACCGGTGGTATTTCGCTTCGGCCTCACGCAACCACGAGGTCCCCGGCAGGCCCATCCACGAGGCACGGCTTTACGCAGCGCTCGTGGGAGGTCTGCTCGGCAACACGGGGGGCATGCTCATCTACGCTTGGACCGCCTATCCGTCGATTCCCTTCATTGCCCCCACTATCGGACTCGCAATGGTGGGAATGGGCAGCAATGCCATCGTCATCAGTATTGTAACCTACCTACTGGACGCCTATGCGCATTTGGCCGGCAGTGCGATTGCCGCCGTGGGACTGGGCGAGAATCTGTTTCTGGCCTTCCTTCCCTTAGCCAGCAGAGCATGCATACAAGTCTAGGCTACCACTGGGCGAGTTTCCGCTTAGGCATGAACTCCTTTATGTTGGCTCTCGTCCCCCTGATCATGTTCCGGTGGGGGCCTGAGATCCGGGGCCGAAGTCCACTGAATATTATTAATAATAATTTTTTTATAACTCTTACAAAAATAGTAGTTTATAAAACTAGTATCTAAGTTTTTAATTTCTAGATATTATAAGATGTAAAAACAGATAATATAATAGATATAAAAAGATTTATTAAAAAATAATATATTTTTTAAAAGCTATTTTATATTATTAATATCTTTTTTTAATTAAAATAAAATAATAGTTTTTAAGCTTATATACAGGTTTTAAAAAAGATTATTTTCTATTATTAATTTTAAAAAATAAAATGTTTTTTTTATAAGTTAAATATAAAATAATCTTCTGATTTTTTGCAACCCGCGTAATCTGGAGATTTAAAAATAAACAAAATCTAATTTAAAAAGCTTATCTTAATTTAAGTATTATTATAGTTTATAAAAATCTAAAAAATAAAAAAAATTTAGTAATATTCTCTAAAAATAAGCTAAATAATTATAATTAATTTATAATTCTAAGATTATTCTGTATATAATTATTAGGAACTACTTGACACAGTAGACATGCTGGTTAGATAAGACAAGCAAGATAGTCAAAAGTAGTCTTCTATTAATTTTAAAACTAATTCTTAAGAAATCTTCTTCTCTAAAGAATCTTAGAATAATATATTATATAAAAAAAAGAGGTAAATAATATAATAATATAAATATCCGGATTAAAATTCTAATAAATCTGTATTAATCCTAAAGCGGCTATTATAATAATAGATATAAACTATTATAGCAGTAGATATTATATAATAATTATATTCTTTTGTTAAGCTAAATTATTTAGTATAGTAATATAGCCGTAAATAGTTTTATTATTTATTCTAATTAGATATTTCTACTAATAGTATTTTCTAAATAGTAGAATTTACTATTATAATAATAAAAAAATTATTTAATAGGCTGTATATTCCGTAGATAAAAGATTCTAGGATAGTAAATAAAGTATATATTTTATTAATAATCTGATTAGAATCCGATGTAAAGCATGTATATAAACAAAAAAGATTAATATATTTTTATTTATTTTTATATTTTGATTTTTTATCAAATCTTTTTTTTTATATTTTTTTTTCTTATTATTTTTACTTTTATTTTTATTGTTTGTTTTATATCTTGTCTGTTAATTTAGTTTTTTTAAAATTTTTATTTTTATTATTTTTTAATATAATACTAATAACTACTTGCTGTTGTTTAGCCAATATACTTATTATATTTAAAATCTTTTTCTATTTGTATTATTTAAGAACTAGTATTAAGAATTTTAATATTATTAACATAGAAAATTTTATATCTAGCTATATTTTTAATACTGTAGTATTTATAGTATGTAAATATTATTCTAATAGGAATTAGATTTATTACTAAATATATTTTGATAATTTTTTAGTAAATTTCTTAAGCTAATAAGAACTAGACTTTAATTAATATATTAGAAAATATTCTTAAATTTTTATAAATTCTAAATTAGAGCTAGAAGTTTTTTGTTAATTATATTACTTTTGACCAGAATTTAAATTAGAATTTAATATTCTATATTTAGATTAATTATTTAATTCTAGTTTTAACTACCGGTTTTAAAGTAGTTGAACTAGTTTATTATTATAAGTATAGACTAACTAGTACTAGTAAGTCTAAGATTATTATATATTTTTTTATTAATTTTTTGTTAATTTATAGGCTAATTTACTAGTTTAATCTGGTTTTTTATTATTTTTTTATTATAGACTGTTATTCTATCGCGAATAATCCGACTATATTTTGTTTAATATCCGAAAATAATAGATTTTTTTTATAAACTAAAACTAAGTAGATATTTTTTAAGAAGATTTATTATAAGATATATATTATATATAGTAATAAGACCTCCTTCTAGAGTTTTTATATTTAAAAGATAAAATAAATCTGGTTTTTTGCTGCTTATCTTTTATAAGAATAGTACTAATTAGCTAGATTAATCCGGTAGTTTTATAATAAAGATCCGGTTTATTTATAGAGATTTTTTATTTTAATTATATATTTTAGTATTAATCTTTAAATATATCTAATATAATAATTTAATATAGATTTGGTTGTTTTTTTTATATTTAAAAATAAGATATTTTCTACTGTTTTAATTTTTTTTTTTATTTTTTATAACTTTAAATAGCTTGCTGAATATTATTTATAAATTTTTCCGGGATTTATTTATTATATTTATTTAGTTAGTCTGTTTATTTAACTAGAAAATACTATTTATTATTAAAAGTCTGTTTATTTTTAATATTTTCGATCTTAAATTTTTTTTTTAAATTTAAAAGATAGAGTTAGTCTTGTAAATCTATATTAGATTTTTATTATTCTAATAATAATATATAAAAAATATTATAAATTCGACTATAGCAGTCAGACAAAAAAATTTAATATATCTATTTTTTAATAGCTGCTAGAATTTTTAAAAATTTAATATATCGAGAAGCTAGCTTCCGAAATAAAATTTTAATTTTTAAATTTTTAGTAAATAGCTTTACGAGATCTTTTTTTTTAAAAATTATTAGCTGGTATTTTTTATTATAATATTTTTTTATTACTTTGTTGGCTTTTCACTAGTAATTTTATAGATTTTTTTATAATATAGCTAGCTTATTAATTTAATTTTTAGCTGTAAAAAATTTTTTTTTTTTGGTATTAATCTTAGTATAAAAATAAAAATTAGATAAATAGTCTAAAAGAATCTTAAAAAAAGAATAACCAGTAGTTAAATTTAAAATATTATTATAAGTAATTTAAATAAAAAATAGTAAAGTAGACTAGTTTAGATGATTTTTATTAATAAAATATTAAAAATATTATTTAAAAGTCTGATTTATCTTTTTAGTTTAATTATTAGTCTGGAGTTAAAATATTATTAATAAATAAAATTTAATTTAAGTATAATAGATAACTTAGAACCAAAATTTACTAGTAAAAAAAGAATCTTTATTTAAGATTATATTTTAAGATAGTTTAAACTAGAGTTTAATCTTTCTATAAAAAAGTTTAGCAAGTTCTAAAGTAGTTATAATATATAAAATAGATAAAAATTAATACTACTTTATAAATCTATCTATAATAATAAGAATTAAATCTAAAATATTGTTTTTTATTATAATAGAAGATAGATTTATAATAAAGTCTATAAATGATTTAATAAAAAATCGGCTAGAAATCAGTAGTAA